GTTTTCGTTTCCAGCTGCTGTATTCTCCAGTGGAGAACATCCAGCGTGTTGCAGCAGGTGTTCTGTGTGAACTGGCCCAGGACAAAGAAGCTGCTGAGGCTATTGAAGCTGAGGGAGCCACCGCACCACTCACTGAGCTACTGCACTCCCGTAATGAGGGGGTTGGTGAGTGTACAACAGAAATTACAATTGACTCGCTTACTAATGCCAGCATTGCTTGACTTGCGTTACTTTGTGTGCCTCCACAGCAACCTATGCTGCAGCTGTCCTGTTCCGCATGTCGGAGGACAAACCCCAGGACTACAAGAAACGTCTTTCTGTGGAGCTGACCAGCTCATTGTTCAGGACTGAGCCGATGGCCTGGAACGATGTATGTGCACACACCTTTTTTATAAATGAGCTCAAATATCCCAAATGCATAACAAATCCGAGCAGGCTGTGCGTTTTGATTACACTGCAAAAAGTATTTCTTCTTTGGAAGATTTATGTTTTAGAGAAATGGTTTGGAGGAACAACTCACGGCTGAAAAAACATTGAAGAAGTTTTTGGTGACACGAGATAAGAGGCTCTTTCAAAAGACAGTTCAGTTCAAGACCTTGCCGGGCACAGGATTGAACAGCAGAAAAACCGATTTATTATTTATTATCATGTAAAAAGTCAGCTATCTATTACAGTGAAGATTGCTAAACTGAGTTCATTCCTCATGTTTTGAAAACAACACGAATGCGACGTCTGTCACACTATAGTACTTTGCTCCACGTTAAATCATCGGAGTTCTGCTTTACSCCTCTTTTGGTTCCACGCTGCTCGCTTCATTTCTGAAAACCCACGTCTGTGCGGGACTCGTCTGTGATGTATAAATGGCTAGAGGGAGCAAAAAGACGAACTGGTTCGTGCACCTGTTTCCAGGAACTGTTTTCTGAAAGAGCCTGTTGTAAAAAGCAAACAAAAGTACACTTTATTTTGGGCATTTTAGTGAAGTGTCTTTTCAGAGTTGAAGTTTGATGTCTCCTCAGCTGTAAACATGTAAGGTCTTCTTTTTTCTAAACATGAGTAAACAATCACCATTTATTTTTTTATGTTGGAATCTAATAGATGCATTGCAGTATGGGATGTGCTGTAAAAGGAAGCTCCGCTGTAGGCTGTGTAAGCAGCTTTGTCATTGTTGTTTGCTTTGTTGTAGACCGGAGACCTGGGATTGGATCTGGGAGCACAGGGAGACCCACTGGCCTACAGACAAGATGGTGTGTGTGGTTTTTTTTTTTTTTAATAAACTAAATTTTATCATATGATTCTGTCCTGTTTGTGTTTAAGTTGTTATAATAGTTTAAATGTATTAAATATATTTTGAACATGTGTTCCCATTTTGAGGCATTTGTCTCTCTTCAGTTGTGAACTACCCAGCAAAAATAGATTACATATATACAAAACACCAAGTTAACTTACTTTCATTATATCAAATTAAGTCTTATGATGTAGTTTAACATAAAACTCTCTGGTCTTTCAGATGGAGCATATCGGGCCTATCCAGCAGCTTACGGACAGGACACCCTGTTGGACCCCATGATGGAAGGTGCTGACTACCACACTGACACGCTGCCTGACCTGGGTCACCACACTGATCCTTTGCCAGACCTTGGCCACACCCAGGAACTGATGGACAGCAACCAGCTGGCCTGGTTTGACACCGACCTGTAGGATCGGTAAGAGAAGCCTGGAAACTCCTACGTTACCGGCTCATAGTTGAGTGGAAAAATAAATGTGCTTTGTTTGCAGCACAATAACAGGATTTTCTTTTTGTTCTTTTTGCAGCTGTTTTCCAATAGAACCTGCTTTGTGGCTGTCCTGTCTCGTCTGAAACAGCATTATGATTGCCCTGTAAAGCGTCGAAGGTAAAAAAATAAAATAAAATAAAAAATATTGAGAGAAATAAGGGGTCTTGGAAAGTGCCTGACACAAGAAAACAAAGATGGTTGCCACAGGATTGTTTAAGCAAGTTGAAACGAGGGGTTAATGAATTTCCAAGTATCAAAGATGAAAGCAGGTGATCTATTTGAATGAGTGCATATGAGGTTGATCTTAAGTGTGAAACACATATGTTTAGCTTTGCCTGTATTATCATTTTTTTATTTTTCTTACTCTTTTTTTATTTCTTTTTGTATTACTCATTATCTGTTATGGTACTGACCCAGCTTGCCTTCACACTAGCCATCTTTATTTTCTCTTCTATGCTAATCATTTGTAATTTTTCCTTTTTTTTATAACATATATTACACGTAGTGTTAAGTTATAGTGATCTTATACAATGTTCTTTTGGTTATGGTCGAATGTGTAGAACACTAATAATCAGTTGAAATGTACTCTGACTTCAAGTGTAACATTGTGTAGTTTTTTTTATATAATCTCAAAAATGGAGACTTATGCACTCTTAATATGTGCTTGTTTAAGCATAAAATATGTCAGTGTCAAATGTTATAAAGAGGGAAATGGGGTTAAAAAAAACTGAGGGTGGATTTGGGGATAAATCTAGAGACAAGTGTTTTATATACAGTATCACTGGTAGGTTAACTATTTTGTATGCTATCATTGGATGTCTGATAGAAAAATTCTAAACGCTATCATTGGTGGTCTGATAAAACCCAGTTTTATGTGCTATCAAAGGTAGCTAGGTTGACAAACCGTTGTAGTCCTGCTGTGTTTGTTTTGGAGACGAGGTTATGACACAGCTGAACAATAAAAAGGCATTTTATTTCATCCAGTCTTTGTCCCGTGTCATCTGTCTTCAGAACTTTGAGATTATTTATACACATCGACTTTGACCCTTTTCAAACTATTTTTATTTCTACATTTGATTAAAGTTGTATTTCACCAGGTTTTAGCGACTTTTTTTAAAATTCTGTAGATTCATGTGTTCACTCAATTTCAAGGATATTATTGACCTGACTGCATCACCACCTGATTTTTACAATATTCTTATCCTGATTTTAAAAAAAAATTAATAAAACATTAAATTACGGTATGTCACCAGATTGTTTTTAAAATGCTGATAACTCATAAATATATGTGTAGTTTCCTAGTCAAAAGGCCTAATGATGCATATTTTTAACTGAAGTAAAATACATCTTGTTTTTTTATTTAAGGCACCCGTGTAAACTGGTTTGTTCAACATGAGTGGAAATTAGCTTCAATAATTTTAACAAACGCTCAGTTTTGACTTATAAATCAGATAAAACAAAGAAAAGAAATGAGAAAATGTGGTTTAAAGTGACATAAAAATGCCATGTTTCTTCTGTAAACAATTTCATAAAATGAATCAACATTTTTTAATGTGCTTACCAAATGAAAATGAGTTCTGTCTTTAATAAAAGATTTCGTTTACATTTTCATYGGAAGAGGCATAATGCACAGAGTTTGCACATCAGGTTTGAGATGACTTGGAAACCTGGAGGTCTGTGTGTAAATGTTGGCTCAGTAGGTGATGTAACTGCTGTGTGTGCTGCTGTAATAAAGAGCAGGACGTTTGGGGGGGTGTTCAGTTTGCTCCATCAGCAGTGAGTCTGATGTGTGTTGCCCCCTGCTGGACAGATGGAGGAACGTGGATCTGAAAGCTTTTCTCTCAGCTCCTGATCAGGCCTGGACCTGACCAGCTCTGGAGGATGCAGGTTCAGAGCTCCTCTTGTTCAGTGATTCTGGGAGAAGTGGAATCTGACATTAACATTTAACAWTGGAACTGTTTCAATCCCAGCTGCCTGTTTTTATTGTAGTTTAAAACCTTTTACTACTCTGTCAAATATTACTGTAGTAGTTTTYACAGTGAGATCTTAGCAACCACTGCTGCTCGTAGATTGTTGAATATTAGAGGTCTTAATATACATACTAATATTTTCTACTCTTGCATTGTTTATTGTGATGGAAAGATTGTCATATACTCTTGTGTCATCTGCAAACATCGTATTGGACCATGTCCACACTGACATTTTACTTAAAATTAAAAAAATATAAAGAAACAGTATGTTTAATGGCTGCTGGAATTAGCTGAAAAAGCTGAAACTGAGTAGTTAAAGTCAAAAGGGGTTTTTATTTATTTTTAACAAAAAGTCATCCAAACTCTTACAATAAATTCCAGCATTTTTTCATGTTGGGTGAAACAAATCTTAAATTATGTATTCCTGGTAATAAATAAAAAAACGTAACAAAAAAAGTATAATTTTTCTTTTAAATCAATAGAGAGCTACATTATCTGAGAAAAGTGATCAGAAAGATTTGTTGCATGTGATTTATCAACTTAGACCAAAGAAATTTGGGGAGAAAAAAAAATAAAACAATAGCTTACATTTACCCCATTTATGAGTTAAAGGAACACTAGATAAAAAAATAAAAGGAGGAGAAGTGGCAAAGCACTGGAATAAAAACAAAGTATCAAGAAACTAAAAGAAACAAAAGCCTAGCTAAAAACCAAAACAATAGCTAGATGTTAAAAGAAGCAAAAGTAAAAGCTCAAATAACGTGTTAGCAAATCAGCTAAAGCAAAATTAAAAAAATAAAACTGGACGTAGGACGTTAAAAGAAGTAAAACATCTAAAATCAGGAGTTGGGATGGGGACCCCTGATGTAAATTTCAGGTGATTTAAATGTAAAGATGGGATAAGTGAAGCGTTAAGTGTTGGAATGTGATTTTGGCCCACTGATCACCCAGGTGTGTTGGGGATGCTCAGATCAGCCTCTGAAAAGGGAAAAACATAGTTACAGTTTGTCCTGAATCATTTTTAAAATGACACTAATCAGTAATAGCAGTAAAATGCACCATATTAAACATATTCTCAGACTCAGGCCTGTATGAACTGGGACCTGCTGGAACCCCAGGATACATTTAAGCCACATTGATCAAGATGAATTGAGAGGGTGCTGCCCAGAGAAAGAAGTCCTTCTAAATAATGTCTTTTAAAGGACATAAAATTTGCAGCTTTTTTAAAAAGTCTGTCAGAATGGNGGGTATTTTCTATAAAAACACTGGCCTACAAGAGTAACTTTACACAAATACAGAGTTTTAGTACATTTTGAAATACATGATATGAGTCAGTCTGCAAAACTTTATTTCTCATGTTTTTGCTCATTTATTTGTCAGAACCTAACTTTGAACATTTAAGCTAAAAGGTTTCAGRATGAAGAGGAGGATGCAGCTCCACCTCCAGCAGTGATGGCCCATCATGACCTGAAAAGGTCCAGGAGACTCCCTCTAAGGTTCTATTGTTCCAGCAGACCTTATATCCAGAGTGGACCACTGCAGATCTCTGTGGAAGCCCTGTGGTTTGTCTGCAGCCTGGTTCTCCAAGAACAAGATGAGCAGCCCGGCTGAGAAGCTCAAACATCGGCGTGTTCTTTTTGGTGCGAGGCCTCGGAAAGAAGCCTTCAGGAAAGCCAAAACATACTTGGCAAAGATCGCCCTCGTCCTCYATGATGCTCCGGACCAGATGCTCATGTTTCCACAGGTAAGAGCTCAAACAGCCATAACATAATGAGTGATAAAGAAAACTTTGACTTTCTGAACTTTTACTCTTGTAGTTGATGGAAAGGTTTGAGGCCCTGACTTCAGGAGACCAAAAACATCTCAAGAGCAAAATCAGACTCTGTTTATCAACCAACAAATGCTTCGTTGAGGCAAGTTTCCTTCCTCAGTTTGAAAACGTTGTCCTGATCCTTTATTTACTGAGCTGCTCTGGTTTTGCTCAGATCCCAGGGACTCCGGACTCAAAGCAAAGCAGGAGGACCTGCTGGAAACTGGACTGCAGTCTGATCACAGCAAAGATGGCGCGTCACCACTTCGCCGGACTCYTGCCGTTCTTCCCAGAGCTGGCCTCCAAGGTGGGCCTCTGCACCACCACTACCTCCGCAGCATCAGGGCCGTCGTCACCTGGATCACCCTGTTCGCCACCGTCACGCCGGGCATCACCCCCCCTGCCAGCGTCACCGTTATCAGCATCCACCACAACATCAGAGACCTGCAGCTCCACTGATTCTGACTCCAGTAATGCTTCATGTTCATTTCAAGTTGATCTGKGCTGTAACTTTCATGTAATACTGCCTTCAGAAAAGCAGGGATAACACTTTCTTTAATGGATCACCGATGTCCTGTTGTGTAACAACTCCACGTCTCTGCTTTGCGTTTAGGCTGGAGTGGAAGCAGCGGCGATGAGGACACTTTTCTCCTTCCTTGAGACGCAGAGGAAGAGTGAAGCTTTCCCGGCCGAACACGAACGTCTTCTGGCGAAAAGGCAAGAGGGCCAGGTAGAGGCAYGTGAGGCCTGGGAGCAGTGGGAGGCCATGAGTAGGAGGCAGCAACTTGCTCAGGATGAAGATTACAGGAACATAATGGCCGAGCTTGTGGAGGTCAGMAGCAGCCAGCTCAACCCCACTGACTGACTTCATTTCTGTTAGATAAAAGTTTCTGCTTTGGCTTCTCTGCATTTCCAAAAATAAACTTTGTGCTTCTTCTATTGCATCATAGTTTTCTGTTTTTTAAAGTGTCATTTGTTATTGTTGCAAACATTTAAATAGAGGTTTTGCTGCTAAAATTGCTTCTTTTTTTTTTTTTTTTTTTTTAGTTATCGAAGTCTTGTTCGGTGTTGCCAACACAGAGAAAACTACACAAAGATTGTAATAAATGCTAAATTAGGGAACTTCTTATTGTGATTTAATTAAACTTAAAGTGATAGCTAAAACACTCAAAAATAAGATTATCTGAACGTTTTGGATGATCATAAAACCAAATTGTKGAGTCAGAGCCCTGAGTTAAGTTAAGTACATTTGGTTGTTAGCACGCAGTTGAAAGTTGGATGGTTTGTTCATGTATTTTTGTCATAAAGTTAAGTTTACCATAGAAACTGCTCATTTAGCCTGAAACTGGAGTCAAGGCAGCTAATCTATTAGCTCTCATGCTAACGGTTGTTATCTTTATAAACTTACTGTTTTGGATTGAGGGTCATGTAACTACAATGTACAACGGAGGTGTCATCGGAGCATAAACGTTTACATGTGAAGTTTATGAATGTTGTACGAAAGACCAAATGGGAAAAAAAATTGCTTCGTCCCCAACAGCGAATGTTTTTCTTTGATGTCACTATAGGAACCAAGGGTTAGGAATACTGGCCAATTAAAATTAAACARTAAACTAACAACCAATCAGATGCGTGGCACGATTTGACTGACAGCTTGGTTGTCCAATTGCGTGGCGCGCAATCGACCGTTAAGAACGTTTCGCGTCTGCCTCAGTGTTCATTTGTAGAGTGCTGCTGAAGAGTGCGTACGAGTGTTTCACTAAGTTGTTTCTTTTTTATTCTTGATAAAAATGAGAGAGATTGTTCATTTGCAGGCTGGCCAATGCGGCAACCAAATCGGAGCGAAGGTAAGAGAGACACCGGGATGTGAAAAACGATGGATTCAAAGTTAGAATCAGTTTGCGCGGGCTGCTAAACTTACGTTAGCTTACTTAGCATAAAAAAAAACGGCTAACAGCGTTTGGTTTGGGCTTTCGCTGTTCAAGTCAAACGAGTTATCCTATATATTTACCTTTTTAATATATTCTTTTTTTTATTTTTTGTAGTTTTGGGAGGTGATAAGCGACGAACACGGCATCRACCCGACCGGGACCTACCATGGGGACAGCGACCTGCAGCTGGAGCGGATCAACGTGTACTACAACGAGGCCTCAGGTTTAACTTAGCTTCTTTTGCTAAGCATTTTTAGCTACACGGTTAGATTAGATAATTTGTGAGACCGAAGGTAATGCAACACTTTGACGGCAAACCCCCCATAAGCTCTGTGTTTATCCAGCAGAGGGCCTTCAACCTCCGTTTGTTCAATTCAATGGTTACYATGGATCAGTTTCCAAGATACAAGCTAACAAAGTCCACCACAACTACCCCGCTTTAATTATTCACCTTACTTAAAATCAGACAATTAATGCATAAAAAGGTTAGCATTTAATTGTGAAAAGAAAGTAATGGGGTGAACAACATTTGACTGCATAATGTAAATTTATAATAAAGCACAAAGTCAGTATTAAATGATTAATATAAATTTTGTTTAGACATTTTCTGCGTATTTTTATTTCTCAGGAGGCAAGTATGTTCCTCGTGCAGTTCTGGTGGACCTGGAGCCTGGCACTATGGACTCTGTGAGGTCTGGTCCTTTCGGTCAGGTGTTCAGACCTGACAACTTTGTCTTTGGTGAGCATTTTAGTTTGAAAAATAGCAAGTTTTACACATTTACATACACGTACGCTACAATATCGTAATTTTTGTGTGTCACAGGCCAGAGTGGAGCTGGTAATAACTGGGCTAAAGGCCACTACACTGAGGGAGCTGAGCTGGTGGACTCTGTTCTGGATGTGGTGAGAAAAGAGGCCGAGAGCTGTGACTGCCTCCAGGGCTTCCAGCTCACGCACTCTCTGGGAGGAGGCACAGGTTCTGGCATGGGTACGCTCCTCATCAGTAAGATCCGAGAGGAGTACCCGGATCGCATCATGAACACTTTCAGTGTTGTGCCCTCTCCTAAGGTTCGTATAATTCATTCAAATATGTTCAGATGAAATGTTTGTCCCTCTTCCTGCTAACCCTGTTGCATCTTCCTTTGTTCCTCTTCCAGGTGTCAGACACGGTGGTGGAGCCCTACAACGCCACGCTCTCTGTCCACCAGCTGGTGGAGAACACAGATGAGACCTTCTGCATCGATAACGAGGCCCTGTATGACATCTGCTTCCGTACTCTGAAACTGACCACACCCACCTATGGTGACCTCAACCACCTGGTCTCAGCCACCATGAGCGGGGTGACCACCTGCCTGCGCTTCCCTGGCCAGCTGAACGCCGATCTGAGGAAACTGGCTGTCAACATGGTGCCCTTCCCCAGGCTGCACTTCTTCATGCCAGGCTTTGCCCCCCTGACCAGCCGGGGCAGTCAGCAGTACCGGTACTGAAACACAAACCCACTTCTAACCGTGAAACCAGTTCTTGTTTTTTGTTCAAACTAAAACTGACCTTTTTGTTTTGTTTTCCTCCACCCTCAGGGCTGTGACTGTCCCTGAGCTCACCCAGCAAATGTTCGATGCCAAGAACATAATGGCAGCGTGCGACCCGCGTCACGGGCGCTACCTGACGG